CCAAGATTCATTCACAAGTCTCACCCAGTCAACAAGCAGCGCGCTCACCTCCCCAGACTAACGCACCGAACCTTGGCATCCGGCCAATGAGAACACACTTAAGGTCAGAGGATTGGCTCTGAGCGGCTGGCGAATCGCACAGAGTTTTGCAACATTATGGACTTTCTTTGCAAAATTTTGGACTTTCTTTGCAACTTTGCGGGAAATGCTATAGAGGAAGCAGCAAGCAACAACCAGACTTCATTCCCCACAAACGGTAAGCGCTTAGTCAGAAGCGAAGTGCGCAGGACGTTAGTACACCCAGCCCGCTTATGTAGGGACGGACTGTTGCGACCGTGTTCCAAATGACGCATATCACTGGTCAATACACACTACGGCGGCATGGAATCGTGATGCAAGTGAAGGGTACGCACCAGTGAGCAAGAAAGATTATTGACCCGGTTACCGTCTACTGGTACTTCAATGTTACCATGGATACAAGTCCTGAATGCTATAATGTAGTGACCTCTGAGCAGAACTTAGAGAGTGCTCCTCTACTTACGGCGCAACTCCAAGTACTCAAGGGACACCGAAACGAAAATCGTGATCGAGCATTTGAGTGGTTTTGCTCATACTCAGGCGCACTGGTAATGCAACAGCTAACAAGCCTTATGATGAACTCCTATATCGAGTGTTCACTGGAATGTTTGGCTGCATGACAAGCAAAGTCCACATGCAGAAGCATGCGGACACTTTCCTTCATTCGTCTCCTCCACACAATCGATAAGCGACCGCCTCACCTGAATCCCGCTACCAGCTGTCCGGCGCAAATGTGTGCTATCCAGGAAAAAGTTGAAGGTCCAATACTGGATCGATGAATAAGCCAGCATGAAACGCGAAACACCGTACTTAGCAACATGGGATTTAGCCGACATGGCACTGTCATTCACGATCAATAAGACGTGGATACCTGATCAACGTAATCTGTGCGAGGCTGCGTGAATCACATTTTACAACAGAATGAGAACGTAGCACCAGCACAACGCGAGTATGGCGCCGGTTCTGAAATACTTCAGCAATTGAATAAAAACCATAAGCACTAGAAGTGCCATAATTTACTGAAAGCGGTGCGTTCCCCAAAAATGAAAAATTTTACGAGCACAAAAGCAAGCACTACTAACACACCATCTGCGGATAAAATTCAGAAGTGGAGCTAGTACACTGACAAAAGTCCGAAAAATCGTCGTCTAGTTCGTGCAGATGAGACGAGGGAGGTGACGATTGGGCTAGATCATCACTGCAGTTCACAGCTAGACGTGTAAGAGTGAACGCTGGAGGCCGCATGGTTGAAGTTAGCGTACGAGTGATGTACCAAGCTGGGGCACGCTTGATGAGACTGTGGATTCCCAACCGAGAATGTTGCTGTGCGATATGAAAAGCATTCGCGACCGCGTAAGTTAGACAAGTGGTTTCATCGAGGGATCAAATAAGACACAATCCCCACCCTGCGTTCGCCTGATATACTCGTTTCCCAAAAATGTGCATCAGTGATGAGTATGGTAAAGAAAGGTGGGCCAGCCCCAAGCCAACCGTACACCAGATTCGCAGAGGTCCCAAGCTTATGCATTCGGACTCATGCCGCATTCTGCAAGTGTGGACGGAGCTGCGAATGATGAAACGGAATCTACCCCTAGTCCCTCTGTAAGCGCGTTAATCATGCGCGTGGTTACAGGTGAAACTAGAAGTAAAGATGATCGACCACGAGTGCGTTACGTGCAGGTGTGCATTTGACGTTCTTTGTTCTGACTTTAACTCAATGAGTTCATGAAAAGCGGCACGTTATGAAGAACGTGTGAAGTATGTCAGTGAAAGGAATATGACACTAAGGGAAATAAAGGTGCGGCCACCTCTTAGACAGATTACCAGATGAGCAAACAGGTTGCGAAATGAAAAAATTTTCGTCGACCACACACCCGCGGCGGTTCCACCAGAGCAGAATAAGTGAACCAAAGGAGATAACAAGCGTTAGTTTTACATCAAAAGCATTGGTTTGAAAAATCGAACTCTCCGCAGAACAGAGGACTTCAATGTGAACATGATGCGGTGCGATTAGGTTGAAAGCAAGTGACATTAATTGCGTACTTACTCAAATGAACAGAGTTGATGTGTAATTGTAAATAGTAGTTTTGGATAAAAGATTTGCCACAGTCTCCACACGTATACTTGCGATGGTCTGAATTTGGGAAGAGAAAGTAGGCAAGTACTCACGAAACACAAGAAAAATAAGCACAAAATACTGAATCATCAGTCAGACCGTGTACACGCAGGTTGGAGCATACCAAGGCCTCAATGATGACAAAATAACTTTTAGGCTAGGCAACGAAAAATAATTGGCTGCTAATCCTTAAACACCTTGTCATGCGAGAGGGGGCTGGGCGAAATACTGAGCGAGGTGCTAGTCGGTAATTCGACGTGCGAGGTAAAGGCCAGGTACGGTCGCTTCCGGTTAGTCGCCACGTGCCTCTTTCTCCTACCCTAGGCATCCTTCAGCATATCTATCCAGAGGACATCGCGTCACGCTGAACGTATTTAAACCGTAGACTGTAACTGCAGGGCACACATAAGCTCCACATGTCCGCCCAGGTGGGACGCGAAAGCCGATATTGTTGCACACTTTTCGGTAACCATACAATTTTCGAAACGTTTACGCAGTTTTCCATATGACGGAGAAACAGGGTATTGAGGTGTGGAATTATTGCCCTTATGCTGAACAGGGATTAGACCGAGTTCCCAAAAAGCATAAGATGCGTGACCCAATTGAGCATCATATTAGACAAAACTCATTACACCCATAACCAGTGCCTCCAGTCTTCTTTTGAGTGAGTGTAATATGAGATGGTCTGTCAATGAATAAACGACCACTTGTTGCGAGGTCCCGGAACACACGGTTAGTAAACTGGGGATCGTTGCCATGAACTAGTTGAGCTGGTAACACCTACTTGGAGAAGAGCCTTTCAATTTGTCAGGATAAAATCTGTCTTCAACGTCAACTTCGACTGACTTGCGAACAACAATCTCGTGGGGACAGCCGGGCGGCTCGGGATTATTCCGTTCCAGCAGTAGTATACCAAGAACCAAGAATGTATGCTTAAAAGTACAACGATATATCGAGTGAGTCCTCTCTACACAACGTCAGTGCACTTTTCTTTAACGCCGGTGGAGCATTTTGTATACCAGCAAACCGATGCTGAGAGTATTGGGATCACTTAGTTCATGCATGCAGAGGCGCATGAACTGAACAATGAGTCAGCAACATCTAACAAACGCGTCTTCCCTGTGACTAAGCGTTCAATCATAACGCATCGGGTGGTGCGTCCTGAGTTCACTTCTTACTTCGGCTTGGACAACCGGGAAGTATCGCGTCATTTGAAAAAACCATAGATTCTACAACAACCACAAGGTTGCACACTTCGTACCCTTTCGTTTCCGTATAGTTTACTTCTGACACACTCCAATCATACGCAAAACCAGCCTTTGTTAATAACGCTTGTTTATTGAATCTACTTCCGATGTCAGCTTCACTTATCCCCAAAGTTTAAGCAATGGCCCACCACCGACCTCGATCATGATCCGGTTTGGTAACTAACAATGCACGAACCCTCTGGCAGACCGGGTAACAGATCGCTGACAATATTTGTTTCTTTTAAGAGACCCAATTACAAGATTCTGACACGCTGCTAAAGTTGATATTTCCTGACATAACAGCAGCTATACCCGGTTTGAATAGTGTTGGCATTGCCCGGAGTGACAAAGCTGGGGTCACACTGCTAGTGGTTCTCGATGGAATGCCGACCGTGTACAGACCGGGTGGAGGTAGAAAGCTTGTTTAGGATTTGAGCCTACGCTCCAACCGACTGCAACAGTGCATCAATCGGAGACCATTTTATCGCGGACTCCAAAAGCGTTTGGCAAAATATGCAGAGGATTTTGATGCACTGGTCGGACGCCTACTGCCATGAGAAAATCATCTTGATAGCCGCTACACCTTTGGTCAGTTATTCTGACAAATAAGATAGATCTCTAAGGCTGTGAAGGCAATCACCCCTCTTTCAAAAGAGTAATAAACCCAAGTACTTCAATACACGGCCTCGCTTCACCGACGCAATCATGGACAGGGAAGGATGGTCATGTAATTAACTCTCTCACTCTCTCTCTATATATATATACATATATATATATATAGGGTTTCCCAAAAAGAGGTACTCATTCTTTGACAGGCGAATAATAATGTATTCTTTGACACGCGATTAATAATTTATTGTTTGACAAATGATTAATAATGTACTTTTAATTTCAAATGCAGCCAACCCTTCTTAATGGTAAAGGCACAACAAACGCTGGAAAAATTATAGTAAAGTGCTCCTGGAAGCACGAGAATGTCGTGGAAGTGCAGAGACAAGTTAACAGATAGTTGCAGAAGAATCCACTAACGCGACGTACCATTGCGCGCAGCAGAGATAAGTTTGAAGCGTACGGAATTGTGCACAACGTCAGTAAGCAACGCTCCGGAAGACCAATAACCTCCACTAGCCCCAATAAATGCAAACAATTAGAAGAAGCTCTTTCCCGATCCCCAATGAAATCCGTAAGACAATTGAGTCGTGAGATGGGTATCCCAAAATCGAGTGTTCATCGGATGTTGAAACAAGATCATTGGAAAAGTTACATTCCAACATTACTTCAAGCTCTCAATGAAGATGATCCTGATCGGGGAGTTCAATTTTGCGATTGGTATCTGAACAAATTCGCAGAGGATGCAACGTTTCCCGAGAAAATCTTATGGAGCGACGAGGCTACCTTCAGATTAAACGGTTCAGTCAACCGACATAATTGCGCATACTTGACCCGTGAAAATCCACATTTAAGTATGGAACACCATCCGAACTTACTAGGTGCTACAGTGTGGTGCGGTATGGCAGGATTGAGGGTCGTTGGACCATTCATTGTTAATCACACTGTCAGTGGTCCAGTTAACGGAAACTTACTAATGGAAAATGTCAGTCAATGGATTGAAGAAATGTTTGGGCACGAGGAGATTTACTTCCAGCAAGATAGAGCTCCTCCCCACTACCATCGTGATGTACGGGCTTACCTCGAAGCAACACATCCAAACAAATGGATTGGCAGAAGATGTATCGTTGAATATCCTGCGCATTCACCAGACTTCACGCCGATGGATTTCCTTTTATGGGGATATCTTAAAGATAAGGGTTATGCCGCAAAACCAGCGAAAATGGAGGATGTGAAAAATGAAATTCGAATACAATGTCATGCAATTCCAAATGAAGTGTTTAGCAATGCTGTTGGATCTATTGTTGGACGTTAACAGCCGTGTTCAGAAAATGAAGGAAGGCAGTTTGAACATTTGCAAACATTACAAAATGAGAGAGAACATTCATCTACATGACAATAAATAATGTGTTCCACATCTATTTAATTATGAATTTAGCTTCTTAAAATTGTGTGTTTGTCAAGACACATCTACCTACACACAAAACGTATGAGTATTGAAAGGTCAAAGAGTGAATATATCTTTTTGGGACCCTTTGTATGTGAGGGCAGAACAATTCGTTTCCGGATACGCAGTACAGAGATTAGATGCAAATGACCTGGCAAGAAAAATGCCACTGTAATCCATTTTGAACACTTCTCAGTGATTTCAACTCACAGAATCAAACAATAGCAGCCCAGCATAGGTCACAAGTCATAAAGGTCGCTATATTCTAACTGTAAGTATGGAACTCACTCGACGTCACTGGAGGGCGATGAATTTCTCTGACTACAAAAGTGGTTTAAAGCAGCATCAGTGTTGAGCAAGCGCACACTGCATTTGGTGATAATGTGCCTTCAAGAACCACCGTAGATGAGTGTGGCAGGCGATCCCTGGATGATGAGGCACAGTGTGGTCGACCTGTGGAGGTCACCGTCGCGAACAACATTGCTGCTGTACAAGCGATGCTGGAGGAGAACGCGTGGGCGACTGTGGTGTAGCTGAAGAAATCCATCGGTATCTCAGTGGGATCAATCCGCACCGTCCTAGATGGGAACTTCGGCCTCAGAAAGGTTGGCACACGCTGGGTCTCCCATCAGTTCAGTGAGGAGCAGAAAGCAGCTCCGGTGAACTGGTTACGCACAATGCTTGCCAGGTTTGATGGTGGACGTTCCATTGCTGTTATAGAGACCCACAGTGGTGAGGAGACCTGGGTGTATAGTTTCGACTCAGAGAGGAAGCAACAATCGGCTCAGTGGGCAACCGTTGGTGCGGCACCGCCTCAGAAATGTTGGAGTGAGCACAGTGTGGCCAAGCAGATGGTGGCTGTGTTCGTGACTAAGACCGCTCATGTGGCTAATGTACCGCTCGTACAGCAATGCACAGTCACCGGAGACTGGTAGGCCACCGACTGTCTACCACAAGTGCTGGAAGCTGTAATCAGGCGTCGTCCAAGAGCTCAAACACGAGGGACCTTGCTACACTATGACAAAGCATCCGCATAGGTCGTCGATTCTCTGGCTAGAGAACGAATCCAGGAGATTGGTTACCTACTCAACAGTCCGTGTGACATCGTTCTTTCCAAATGTTAAGTGCATAATGCGTGGGATCCGCTACGAGTCTCCAGAAGCTGCAGTAGAGGCATTTATTGAACCGCTTGAAGCGTTACCCGCTTCGGCATTGTAGAGCTGCTTCTCCAAATGGTTTGAGCGTATGGAATCGTGCATGAGCACTGGTGGAGAGTACCTCGAGAAAATGAAATACTTTTGTTGTAAAAATATAAAACTATGTGCAACCAGAAGCTTATTACTCTACCGCCGTAGGTTGGTGGACCTAGTTGGACTGGATATACATTGTGTCTGGCCCCCGCTCCAATATAAGAAAGAAAAGTGGTGTGCAAGGTTCACAATGGGTGGGATGACAAGCGAAATTTTGTAAAGTCGAAATCACAGTACCGATGCTTTGCTGCCGCGCAATCATCACCAGTTGCACGTGGGTTAAGGATACTGAGAGGGTCGCCTTGCCCCTACGCAGGCTCCAACCCGCGCCGTCAGATTACAAGACCATCTTGTTAACTTTAGACTACGGGCCGGCACGAGGAAGCATTGCTGAAACATAAGGATGCCGGTTTTGCAAACTTAATAAACCGACTGAGCCTAGCCCGTTGACTTCATGCAGATGTAGGACATAAGGCCGTGTGCGTCTCAGCAGAGCAAAACTGATACGGCTACTCTGTAGCCACTAGAAGCCGATATCGAAAAGGCGACGGATAAGCTGAATAGATTATTATCAGTACATGCTATGTTCGCTGCCTTAGGTTTTTCTTAACAACCCAGGCAAATAATGCACCAGATGTGGCACGCATACTGTATCCTCACCCTGGCTGGTCCACCAGTGTAGCTGCGAGGTTGAGTCGTTGCATGTTTGACAACGTTTGTTGACTGATAGCCCAAATCTGGATGCTATCGATTTGAAAGGTGATAGCGTAGGTGCCTTTCGGGAACTGCCACATCTAATTCTGCCTTGTAGATGGAAGCACAGCTCTTGTGGTTGTGCTAGCCTCAAAAAGTGGTTCGATCTAGTGTGGAATGGGTTACAGCCAGCCACCGCAATATTCACATCTGGTATGCACATTAATCCCTATCCAACTCAATAACATGCGGATTGAAGAAGTATAAGATGGCCCGAATAAACCGCGGACCCAATTTACACATTTCCCTGTCTTACTCATTTGGGTTTACACATAGAGGATCGGAGATCTCAGAAAGGCCTCCACAAAATTAACCTGCAAAATGCGAGTTTATAAGTAAAGAGCTCAGAAGTTGCACACAAATTTGAAGCGGATGAAAGAGCGCTATGCGTGTGGGTAATCGAGCATGGTCCAAATCCAGGCAAGTACTTCAAATTGACCGACAGTCTTGAACCGATGTGCCCCATCCGTAGTTGGTGGCAATTTGTGGCGAGGCTGTTGAGGAATTTGGTGGGTATAATGTGACACGATGCGACCGTTTGTGCTAGATAAAAGGTGTTGCTAAGACAAAGGTTGTGACCAGCTCATTTTCGCAGTAATAGACTGGCGTGATTCGACTAAGAGAGGTACCCAACCCCATGTGTTGTTTAAAGTACCAGAGGCGACCCATTTGAGTATTCGTGTCAACGGAAACAATTAAGATAGAAGAGATTTTCGCATTCGAATTCGGAATGACGATCGCACTTCATACCATATGTGGAACGATTGGCTCAACCTGGAGGGAAATTGGAATGCGAAACCGCTTTCTAAGAGAGTTGCAATGCACAGTCCGATAAAGGACGCAAAATGCAACTCGCTAGGAGCCATGCAACCTTCAAAGTGCGCCACGGTCAAGATTAGTTATTCCACTTTCACTCCACAGACGTCTGCCTCGAAGAGATGTGGGTAGGCTATACTACAGTTGAGCATCACATCACTGTAAAGGACTAGCAACATATGGCCTTACAGTAGAGATAGAACTGAGGGACTAGGATTAGGGACTTTGAGAGCGCTGGCTAAAGCCATCCCATTTACATCGTGCAGGTCTGGAAACAGCGCCCGCCAAAGCGGTTGTAGGTTTAGAAAGTGAGTGCTGTGTGAATGGAATGTGGTACACAGTCCCAACTATGACCCTGAATTACTATGAAGTGGATCTCTATCACGCCGAACACATAGACAGTAGCTGAAGCCAAAAGATCATACAGGATTATTCGTTTCACAGCAAAGGAGCTGATGTGGAAATTGAAACGTTCTACGAAATAAGATGTCCTTGGGTAGTGAGTACTATAACATGAGAAACGTAGTGACAGTTTATCCTAACAAACAAAAACAAAATGGTTAATCAAGGCAAAAGGAAAAGAAAAAATATCTAAAATATGGTGCAATCAGCTACACGCTCACCAAAATGAACAGTCTTGACATGTTTTCGTAAAGCGCTCTTCACAGGAAATGTTCTGTCGCAGAGTTCACATGCATGAGGGTGAAGATCTGAACAGTGAATAAACAGGTGGTTAACTGCAGACGGACCATACAGGAAAATACATACAGGAAAGTCGGTGACCTGATAAGGTGGGTGTACATCGGTAGTGGCACACTAAAGACCTAGCAGTAACCAATAAACAGAAACCTAAACGATAACCTGCATGGTTATCATAGGTAACAAAGGTAAAGCACTTAAAGTTATGGCGCAAGCATGTCATCCAAAGAGTAAGAAGTGGACAGAGATCTCACTTGGGCAATGGTTTCGCGACATCCATGTCCGGATTTGTCACTGTGACCTCCCAGGAGATAAGATGCAGGACACCTGCGCCTACAGAGACACTATAGTTAGAAGAATCGAGTAGGCTGTACCCACGGACGTCGCGGATTTTTGGAGCACTGTGTGCTGGATACTATTTTTGCTGTGTGAATTATGCAACAATATTCTTTTGGCGTATTTTCCAAGCGGTGAAAATTTGCCGGCTATTCTTTGGCTAATTCCGGAGATCTCATTGATTTGCCCTACTGCCGTCTGTGTCCGCCATCTTGGATTTGCTCTAACTTGTGATGCCGTCTCAAGCTACTTGTGTTTCGTGTTCGAAAGTTGTGGGAAATAAGGCTCATGCACTTCGGTGCTTCGGCTGTGATCTTTTGTTCCATATTTCGTGTATTGGCTTATCCGTTGACGTGTTTCGAAAAGCTCTCGACATCCGACATCGTTTTTTTCAAGTTATATAAGATAAATGTCGCGGGGCAAGACATCAGAATACACAGCGACCGCCAATAACAACGGGAAAATCTCTCATACAGAAACAAACCGTTCACCACGTGGGGACAAACGTCTTCGTGAAAGTACCTCTATCACCTCGAATGCTATTGTCACTCCGCGATCTGCACCACCACCAACATCTTCGACCCCGGCCGAGCCTCGGGTTCAATGTTTCCCACCGATGGAAGACTCAGACTCGGAAACTACGAAATGCAGCTTCACTGATCGGTCCGTGAATTTCTCAGAGCCTGGTTGTGAACTTCTGAACACCGAGGATCCATGGACCATTCAAAAGCGCAAGGGTCCACGTAATCGAGTTCAGACGTCACCTGCTGATAAACAAAAACCCAATCAGTTAAGCGCCTCTAGTTCTGCTCCCACAGGTTCATCACTGATTTCGCTGAGGCGTCATACTCTCATGGTCTTCCACGTACCAGAATCAAAAGATGAAAACCCTCAGATACGTTATGATCACGATGTTGAGTCCCTCCAGGGGCTCATCGGTAGGCTCATGGATGTGGGTGAAGACAGTGTGACGATTAAACAAGTAATCCGACTTGGCCAGAAAACTAGCCAGTCATGTCGACCGCTGAGAATCACCTTTGCAAATCCCAATATGCCGCAGCTCATACTGCCTCGTCTGTCAAGGCTGAAAGGCATAAAAGGTCACATCCACCGAGACTTGGAACACGAAGACAGGGATTGTTTGAGAACTGCGGTCAGAGGAAGGTGAGACTGACTTACAAATTGTAAATTTTCGGGTGATCAAGAAGGGTGTACGAACCCGCATCAACCGGTTGCTCAACCTCCAGGCACGTCCCGCAGTACCTCCCAGGACCTCCGTGTAGCGTACGCCAAAGTGTGCAGCCTAATGAACAAACGTGACGAACTGTGCCGCTTCGCTGTCTCGGAGCGGCCGGACGCTTTAGGACTTGGATGAACTCCGACGTCGTACCCCAATAAGTCGTGTTGTCAGGATACTCTTGTTTCCGATGCGATCGAAAATCAAAGGCTCACGGCGGTATTCCGTTGTACCTAAAATCGTCACTACCTGGCAAACTTACCAGCACCTATCGGAGCGAGGATGGTTTATGCGAGCAATTGTGGTGCACAATCCGTATCAGGTGCGCAGAACTAATAGTGGGTGTTATCCACCGGAGCCCATTAAACCGTTGCTGCGATTGGATAACGCATGTACAGAAGCGCATGAGCCGTCCACAGTTCTCACTGATGGGGGATCTAAATTTACCTAAGATATTTTGGTCAGACGTTCGACTTCTTCCCGGTCATGGCCACGTTGAGGCTCAAATCGCTAAAATGACTACTGAAATCGGGGCAACGCAACATGTCATCCAACCGATGCGCGTAACTCCACACTCGACATCTTGTCTGGACCTAATGTTTACGAGCTACGAGCAGAAGCTGAACGAGATCAGAGTCATCGAACTTCTGGCGAACAGTGACCACTGCTCCATTGTGGCAACCATAGAACTGCCGTTACCGTATTACAACCAACGGAAGCCGACATTCAACTACTAGAAGACGGACTTCAACGGGATCGTCCTAGCCGCAAGTCAGACTGATTGGAGACTACCACAGGATGCGTCGCTTGAGGCTTGTTGGCCATTAATGAAGAGGCATCTTAACTCGCTGTGTACTCATTTCGTTCCCCTGAAGTATTCAAAAATCGGATATGTTAAACCGCATTTGTTTCATACGGAATAGACAATTAGCGAGCCGGCGTCGCAAACATTGGGTTAGACACATCAGCTCGCGTTGTGATGAATATTACACGGTGTACGAGAAAGAGCGTAACTTGTGTAACGCCGCAAACATCGAAACGCCGGCAGTTTGAAGAGGAGCTAGCATTCTCGGCCACAACTGCACCCAAAAGAATAGCTGCATACTTAAAACGTCAACTGAAACCTGGGGGCGACCTATCGGTTTTAGAAAGCTTGGACAGACAGACGCTCATTTCAAGCGCGGAGCGCGCAGACGCCTTTGCTACGCACTTCCTCACGGTATCTTCCAGTAAACCGGCGACTGTTCCAGTACCCGCACAGGTTTCACCAGTCTTGCTCGACAGCCTACAACGTGGTGCAGTCGAAGTGTATCAGCTACTCGTCAACCTTGATTTTACAAAGCCTTCCGGACCAGACGGACTTCACACACTAATACTCAAGTCCCTAGCGATTACCATCTCACCAGCAATGACAAACCTAATCAATGAATCACTCTCTGAAGGATCCGTCCCGAACGACTGGAAATGCTCGATAGTGAGACCGCTTCCCAAGGATGGTGATCCGAGTAAAATAGAGAACTATAGACCGATATGTTTGACTTCGATATTAACCAAAGTTCTCGAGAAGGTTGTGAAAAAATGTCTGCTGTCGTGCTTCAAATCGGTGGACGTATTGACGCCAGCGCAACACGGCTTTACAAAAGGGAGATCCTGCATCACCACCAGTGGGTACGAGCTCTCAATGAACAGAAGGATGTTGACGTGGTGTACATCAACCTTAGTGAGGCGTTTGACAGAGTGAACCACGAGGTACTCCTTCGTAAACTGAGGACATACGGAATCGGTGGCACGTTACTTCAGTGGTTACACGAGTTTAGTGTGGGACGAAAGTGGAGAGTACGGGTCACTGACTAGCTGACAGACTAATTCCCATCGACCAGTGGCGTGCCTCAAGGAACTGTACTTGGGCCAATAGTATTTCTTATGCATATCAACGATCTTCCGTAGCAGCTCCAGCTACCATGTGCCCTGTTTGCAGATGATTTGGAAATTTGGAGGATCACCGAGAACCAGGACGACTGCGCTCGCCTCCAGCATAACTTAGAGCGACTGTCAAGGTGGTCTACTGAAATGCAAGTCCCTCTTAACGCAAGCAAGTCGGAGTTCATCAGTATCACCAGACGTCCAGTCACTCGATCATACACCTTGGACAGACAGTTGTTCCATCCCAACACATCTGTCAGAGACTTAGGAGTTCTCTCGCGACATGATACGAGATCACTAGAAAATACAGAGAAATTGTACCGTGCGGGACTTCGTATGCTCTGGGCATTACGACGCAGTTTCTCCACATGGTCCGAAGAAACCGTCCCTCATCTATTCACCTCGCTCAGTAGACCAATCCTTGAATACGGTGCCCCAGCTTACCATCCGATAACACAGTGGGAAACCGAAAAGCTGGAGAAAATACAGCATATCACAACTAGTATGATACCGAGTCTACGAAAGCTTCCGTATGAAAAACGTTGTGAAAGGCTCGGACTCCACACACTATCCTACCGCTGAGTAAGAATTAACCTTATTATGACCCATCGAGTACTACACTTGAATCACTTCCCCATACTGCGGCCAAAATTTCACCTGTGGGAACCCTGTAACACCCGAGGATACCGTTATAGACTCAGGGTCCTCTGCATGAACAAAGTATCACATCAGCTTTGTATCGAACGAAGAATCGTAAACTTATGGAATACACTACCAGAAGGATCAATAGAGGCCGATTCTGTGAAGTGTTTTAAAACCCGTATCGACGATTATTTCGGAAACCTGTGCTTTTGTGAAACGATGCACATACAATACCAAAAGAAGACATCGTATGCCCGGAAATAATGACACCAATACAAAATCCTAACCCAACAAGGATAAACGATTAACTGACCCGAGACAACCGCTGATGATTCACAACTAAATGTTTTTTGATTTTTCGTAATTCGATAGAGTTGTACAGAAACCTTTCTACTTGCTCTTAAATACAGTCTCAGTCTCATGGTTGGCTTGCGCAGCATCACCCACGGTTGCACCCACGCATCCCATATCCAGTGTAAACCCAAAGGAATAAGACCGAGAGGCATGTAGATGGGAGCCACGTTTCGTCAACAAAGACGGCCCACACTCCTGCAACAAGTAGAACAAACATTTGTGCCTAAATGGGAAATCATGCGTACCAGACATAACAAGGCGGTGGCTGAACCGCGGTTCGCCCCACACTGGTTGCATGGAATCACTCTTCGAGTCCAGCATGACCACAAGGACCGTGCATCTCATCCCCTTGAGCAACGACTAACTACCTAGTGGAGCCAGTATAGACGAGGTGGTGGGTAACAGACAGGTAGGCACCTTGTCACATCAAGCGCAACCACTCCAGGGATATTAAACAACCAACACAGAATTTGAATGAAAATGAACACGCAATATTTGACACGGAGTATGCAGCAGAGTAGAAGAGCTGAACAAATCAAATAGTGGATTACTTCCTATCCATATAAGGAAAGTCTAGTTTCAGTGTTAGTCTTGGCATCCCACGGTAGTAGAATAAACTTGAGAAGGTAGCAAACGTAGCATACATCACAAAGGGAACAAAAGTGTAGTTTGTAACATGTGGAGTAGTTGTGAAGCCCAACTAAACTAGATAAACAAAATAAGGGGCAAATTAAGCGTGGATCTTACCTTTTAGGCAGGTGTAATACAGATACTGCACGGCAACAAGCCAGTTGATAATCGCTCTACAGTGAAACTGTACCCAATCGATTTGCGGAACCCATGGAGTATCAATGATATTAACTAGATGACAGAGATATAGCAACATTTTAAATGTTGCGCCTAAGTTAACTGATGCAAGTAATACCACTGATTTCGAGAAGTTAAATTCAGCGGATGAAGAACGGGAAACACTGATATGCTCATTCTCATGGCTAACAAGTGATCCCGAGGATAAAAGGTCGACATCATCATGGGGATCGCTAGTCAGTTACATGCTGGGACTGTTCACTATCCACGGAGGTTCCGGAGCGATTTCTCTTGAAATGCATTGTCTAATGTGGTTATCCAAAGCAATGAAGCGGTGTTGAGTACTTGGACTCGAAAGATAGTTGTTGATTACAGCGCCCGTCTCTTCATTGAAGCACGAGCGATGACAGCCCGAGTAAATCACTGCAGTCAGAGTAGACTGAGAACTAATCGGTGAGACCCATAATAGTTGCGACATTGCATCAGTAGAACCACGAGTTTATGCTTAAACGTCGACAACAATCTGGCCAGGGTGTCCGCAGACAAATGGCGTACCCCAACGCAAAATGTTGGGACCTACTTGATTCATATCAACGACCTATACCGGCTTTTTCGGTTGTCCTGTGCCCTGTTTGCGAACGACTCTAAGTTATGGAAAGTGCCAAGCATCCTCACCGACTGCGTTATACCTCGGCAAGACTTCAATCGCTCCTCAGTGTGGTCTGAAAGCAGGATGAAACCAGCCAAATTTACAAATTCCATGATTAACCGCTACATTTCACACATTCAGCTGCAGTTTGAAGTCCATGCAGAACATGAACAACAACAACAACTACTACCACTACTACAGTGCATCAGAACTTTGAGCTGATGCTTTGCTGCCGCATAATCATAATGATTTGCAGACCTACAGAAGAAGAATAAGTGGGAAAGACGGGGACCTAGCGTAAAACCTTAATGCTCAAATTAAGAAATCCGTCGTACGTTACACAGAATTTCCGGTAGCAACGCACGAAGTCAGCAGAGTAATAACCACCACAAATTATTGTGAGAGACAGTTGGCGCATATTGTCCACGCGAATTGAATAGTTGTCCACTGATGAAATGCATCTGGGCGGTCAGCACGGTGTAGGCTCCCGTAATGATAACGGTGAGCGGTTACTTCATTTGTGTGAAGATGCTCGCTTATTTCTTGCGAGCACTAATTTCCGACACAGCACCCGCCGGAGGGTGACGTGGCGCCCACCAGCCTCGAACCAGCCTTGGACGCAGATCGATCACATTGCTATTAGTTACCGCTGGAGAGGCTGCATCCAGAATTGTCGCTCGATTTGGAGCACATGTGTGGACACTGATCATGCACTTGTATGTGCTGACATGCGGATGCGCTTTGGAGGACGCCCACGACGACGCTGTGAGCGCATTGACACCAGCCAACTGACAAAGCCAGCTGTTCTGAATGCGTATCGATATACGCTGACATGCGAGTTGAGTACTCGCTCACCGGAGACAATTGATGGTCACTGGTCACATGTTCGCCAGACCTTACTAGCAGCGGGCAAATCCTCATGTGGTATGTCTAAAAGCCCACATGGACATTGGGTCTCTTCTCGGTCTCTGGAACTTATCGACGCTCGCCGGCATATTCCGGCTGGAAGCGAGCACAATGAAACTCGCAAAGATCTCCGGGCAAAACTCCGTGCTAGCCTGAAGAGAGACCGCGAATCTTGGTGGTCTCATCGTGCGTCAGAGATGGAAGTGGCCGCTGCCCTTGGCAACCATCGTAAGTCATTCCGTCTGATACGGGAAACGGGCAGCAGGAGGCCTGGTGTTAGTGAAACAATTTGTGATGAGAGTGGACAGCCAATCCACAATTTGTCAAAACGTTTGGAGCGTTGGGCTGAGCATTTTGAAAAGCAATTAAATCGGCTAGAATTGTCCGATTCGCCGGTCACTGATCGCCCTGCTCCGTGGGCTGTCCCTTTGGATCCACCCTCTCGCTCAGAAGTCGAACGTGAGATCCGACTGTTGAAGTTGAACAAAGCCGCGGGACCGGATGATCTTCCTCCAGCCCTCTTCAAATTCGGAGGACTTGCTCTTGTGGATGCTTTGCATGAATTACTAGTGAAACTGTCGGAGCAGGAGACTGTCCCAACCGACTGGAGCCGCTCCGTTATTGTTCCCATCTTCAAAGGCGGCTCGCGCTCGGAATGCGGCAACCATAGAGGAATCAGTCTGATCTCCATCGCCTTAAAATTGCTCGCCTCCATAATTCTTCACAGACTGACTGGCGCTCGTGAAAGCCAGATTCGTGAAGAGCAAGCCGGGTTTCGTCGTGGTCGTGACTGCATTGACCACATCTTCACTTTGCGTCAGTTGTTGGAGCACCGCCACACATATTGGCGGCCCACCGTAGTCGTGTTCCTCGACATCAAAGGCGCCTTCGATTCGGTTGATCGATGTGCCCTTTGGAATTGTCTACTCAGGAAAGGTGTGCCCGAAAAATATGTAAATATTATCCAAGCATTATATGCGCGTAGTACGGGCAGAGTGAGGGCTTACGTCAGGCTGTCGCAACCCTTTAATATCTCCAGCGGTGTGAGACAAGGATGTCCGCTGTCACCTTTCCTCTTCAACTTCGCTATTGACGAAGTTATGGAGTTTGCATTTACAGGACATGACTTGGAAGGTGTGGAGCTACTCCCAGGAGAACGACTTCTTGACTTAGAGTATGCTGACGACATTGCCCTCATCTGTGACCGCTCCCAGACGTGCCAAGCCGCACTAGACAGATTAGCACTGGCTGTCAGCCGCTTCGGGCTTTGCTTTGCACCATCGAAGTGCAAAGCGCTCCTCCAAGATTGGCAGGGATCGCCTCCTGCGGTGACCCTTGGTGGGGATCAGCTAGAAGTCGTTCAGAAATTCAATTACCTGGGAAGTTGTATCAGCGCCCTTGGGATCGAAGACGAGATCACGAACCGTATAGCGAAAGCTCGAAGTGCTTTTGCTAACCTTCGCCACCTTTGGCGGCGGCGCGACATCACTCTCGCCCTGAAGGGTAGAGTGTACAATGCAGCGGTACGTTCGACCTTACTGTACGGTTGCGAAACCTGGCCCATAAGATCGGCGGACATGAAGAGGCTAGTTACGTTCGACCATCGGTGCCTTCGCAGTTTGGCTCACATATGGTGGGAACACCGCGTGAGTAACGAGCGTGTTCGACGCATTGTTTACGGCCCAGGAAAAGGATCTGAACCACTCAGCACCGTTATTTCCCGCACCAGGCTCCGATGGCTCGGCCACGTGTTACGCATGCCAGCCCACCGACTCCCTCGACGTGCGTTGTTTGCTCACCGGGGATGTGGGTGGAAGAAGAGGAGAGGTGGCCAAGCGATGACTTGGTCCAGGGGAATGAAGTCCCTTACCTCGGAGCTAGCCTCGGTTGGAGCTTCACGGCTCCCTGGTTGGGGTCCAAAAGACGGTGAACACGTTTGGCTGGATACACTTGCTGACATGGCAAGGAGCCGACCTCAGTGGTGTTCATGCTGTGAATTTCTTTGTCCCTCCCCATCCCTTTTAGCCTCCCCATCCATCTACGGTCTCATTCCCTAGGGTAAAACATAATATTTCTTTTCTTTTTGCCTAGTAGCTAGCTGGAAGCTTACCGGAACGATGCGTATTCGTTGCTGGTAGCTCAGCTGGCATGCAACTGTTGTATCTACTTCTCCTTTTTGTATTGTATTGTATGTATGTATGTATTTCCTTCATGTATTGCGGCACAATAGGGGAGGTGTTTTTCCCACCTCTAGCTGATGTGTATAATGATGATGAGGATGAATTGAATAGGACAATGTTCCCGCATCAGCATCACTCCAATGAAGCGTTGTGGCACAAAGAAGGAAAGGGAATTTGGGTGCCGACTTCGTGATGACGCTTCCCCAGATTAATTCCAGCACGTTATCCAATATCAGCCATGTGCACGCGCGCAGCTTTGAGTTCCCAACGTTTACACTACTGACGTCGGATCAGATACACACGAGTCCACGGCCGATTCTTTCAGATATGCAGTATTTGATAGTGCCCTACGGCTGTTCGCGCAGTCGACAGGTACATTCAACGAAAGATGCTCCAGATTGCGAGTGGCAAAGATGAATTTGATAAGGTATACAACGAAACGCTGCGTTTTGTAGTGCCTTAGTCTGATGAGCTAGGACAGACAGTTATTACACAACACGAGGAAGAAAAAAGTGATAAATCTGCAGAAAAACGCATCTCGGAAGTATGAACAATAAAACAATACGATATAAGTAGCATCGATGTTCACAAGGAAGCTAAGATGGTGTAACCTAGTATAATCAGATTAGAGCAATGTTCTCAGATATACGCTTACCAAAGTGAGTACATCTGATATGCTTTTTCAAAGTGCCTTTCCGATTAAACGACGCACCACAGTGTTCACATTTAAAGGGGCGTTGTCCTGAAGTGGAAAACCGAAAGTAATTGGTCATCGGTTAATCACATTTGGAAAATAGGCCTACAAAAAGGGATGATCAGTTAGATTGGGAGTATCCAATTGATAGTATATGGGAGCTTCGATTACAATAATGAATTCGACGATTCCAATTCTGACACAATGGCCGCTTAGGCTATACGAAATAATTTGATGATAGATTTTATGAAATGGGAAATACATTATAAACTAACAGGTGGGTTGTTAAATTGCTAAGACAGGATACGATGAAACAGAATACGATTTCCGAGTTTCTGTTCCTCCGCATCCAAAGAATATGACTTAGCGGGGTCAGATAATTACGTCCCAGCGTGAAAACTGGACACAGCGTCGTGGAATTGTTTGTCTACTTTTAGGACTCAATGATCAACGAGAAGACCCACAGTCAAAGCAGCTCCACAGCTATGCATACCAAACAGCTCATCTACGGCTGGCCGTGGTCACAGATGTGGAATAAACAACAGAAAAATACAGTGTCAGATGTAGAGCTTCCAATATTGCGTGTGACAGAGACTAAGAAGACATCGATGGTATTGCACAGACAAGCACTTGAACTGGACTTGTGCAACACTGCCCAGTTGATCAGACTTCACTGTCAAATGCTAGTTGCAGAGCCCCTTGAACAAAATCGCTCGGAATAGATAGTATGGAGCACCAGCTGCACATACGACGTCGTCACCAGTGATCACTTACGCTATTGCGTTCCCTTTACTTTAGCGAAACTTTCGCCCTGGTCGTTCGTGCGAGGTAATATAATGAATTAAGAATGATCGTTAATCCCTAGAGTCCTAGTGTAGTCAGAGAAATACAAAACCCCATTCTGATGGATGCCACAAGCTGATTCAATGACTCGGTATCATGTTGAACATCTCACGCAATACATTTCCATCCCGGAATTGAGCAAACGGTCACGGTAACGTCAGACTTTGCTAAACAACGCAAATATCATATAGTAGAAACAAAGAAAAACTTTAGTTTCATTATCCGATTATCCGGGATTCACGGAAGGAAACTTAAAATATATGTAACATCCGACGGTCGAAGGTTGGATGACACGTAGGCCAATGATCCCAAAAAACAAAACAACGTTGGATCACAATAAACACGGTACTACTAAAATATATACAGTTGAGCAAAGTGGGTATAACTTAATTGTTCAGGATTCCGGTGTATCACCGTCAACAGCAAGTTGCAATTAAACAACATAAAGGAAAGTGCTATTCAAATCAGACAGCCAGAGGACAGGTGAATACATGATAGACGTGTGAAAGTATGAGCAAAGTCACTGGCCCAACCAGAGTGAGGAAAGGATGAAGGGTTTACAGAAAGCAAATACAATTAAACATGATGTCAAATTTAATGACCTAAGCATCCACCAGAGAAAGTGGTAGCTATGTTACAACGTTATGGAGATAGCGACATCATAGTGCATGGGATATCTGTTACCGACGGAACAAAATTAAAATGAGGTCAAATATCGTTAGTGAGTAAATGAAGGTGTAAATCTGAGGTGAACCACTAAGGATGTAATCGTAGAGAATTGGACAATTATGTAGCGAAGTACATGGGGGCATGAGAATAGTCTTATCATCCGCGTCTTTTGAGAACATGGTTTGGTGCACGAGGAGTCCTCCAACCCAGGATGACGTCATTAGAATTAGCGGAAAAGTACAGTGTAGATGTCAAGCGACAGCAAGTTGCAGATGAATTTACTAAGCATGCAAGACTACGCCAGAATATACAGGTCCATTAAGAATATAAGACCGAAAACCGTATCATGGCGCCGGGGGATGCAAATACCAACGCACCGCGCGCGTGCAGACCCTCTACCCCATGAACACTGTTCTTCAGACCACCGAAATGTTCGCTGGACAACTGATGGGTGGACAGACACATGCACGTGACGCAAACGGACCGTTGAGATCATGGCTGCATATAGACAGTGCGACAACGATGATCGATAGAAGTTATGGTAACCCACCAGTATTTGGTTGGCCAGGTGAGACCAGGTTACTGTGGACATGGTTGCTGTTTTGGAACGGTGTCTGAGTGATGGACCACGGTGAAGCGCGTTTCTCGGTGACTGCTGTGCAACCGGCGTTACAATGTGTGGATGCTCTGGTCAGCTTGTGCTGATTCTTCAGTTGTATAGTCGGTGCGGTTTAACGCTGCAGAAACTGCGCGAAGTTACAACATAAACGCAGGATTTCGGCCCGTAAGTGGGCGTTACGTTCGGAAACTGGTGAAAAAGAACGAGAAAACTGGTGGTGTTTGTAACGCCAGAAATACTGGTCCGCCTCGCACCACTACGGATGAACTTTCGGGTTGTGATGTTATCCGCGAAGAAACCGAAAATCCCGCTCTAAGGATCAGTGCAATCGCCAAGCATTGTGATACCACCAGTTACCCTGTTCAGGACAATTTAAAGGAAAGAAAATAACGTCGGTATGGTGAAGTTAAAGTGTAAGTGTTGAACGCTTGCGATCTGCAGAAACAGCATGCATTTAGCTGTTGCATCTTGGATCATATGGAAGTTCATCCCATCATTTAACGATAAATTAGTCCTCCATTTGAACGGAATAGCGAAGCAGTATTTTTGAGCAGTATTTCACCCACGACATTACTGAGCTTCATGTACGCAACATAGGCCAAGGGTTATGGTTTGGGCTAGACTAATTAGTCGAAAAAGGTGGGCCCATTTTTCTTGGAAGCAATGTGACCGGTAAATTATTTTTTGAGCCGACTTTCCTAGCACCGTATAACAAGGAAATGCTGCAGACTTGCGCTCCTCTGCAACAGGATGCCGATGGGTTATGCAGCACCAGCTGGTGGCAAGATGATGGCGAGCTTGCACATTATGCCCGAACGGCCTGTGAATACCTGAGCGAGAGTTTCGGTCACCGATGGATTGGTCGGGGCAGACGAACGGAGTGTCCTGCCCGGTCATCCGATTTGAACCCCATGGATTTCTTATTATGGCACTATGTAAAACGACGTTTGCAAAACAAGGCAACATTCACCGGAGCAACTGGAAGAGAACATCGTGGACGAATATCGCGCCATCACCGCGGAGACATTAGAGAATTTTTATGTCAGCTGTCAAAAGTGATTCCTGCATCGCAAGCAGAACGCCGGTGGCTACTTCGCACACCTACTGCGTTGATGTTTATATCACCATTAGACCCCGCCCACACAAATACACGTATGTAACCACAAGTGTTCATCGTCTTTCGGAACTCAGCCCGACAATAGGGTTAAACGAGCGGCTGTATTGTACCCCGTGCCTTTCAGGGCGACAGTGGTGTTCCGTAGGCGCCACATGCGTCGGAGATTAGCAAAGGTAACCCAAGCGTTTGCTATACGGCTAGTGATGTCGAGAAGAACATCATCGTGTCTCAAGAGAACAAGATGATAACGCGAGAATAGGCTACGGGGTTGCGTGAGCTTTTCGTGTTCATCGGCTTAGAGAGACTGCGGTGTTCGGTGAGTACTGCAGAATATCAACTAACCGGTGTTACTCCTGGAGGAGATAAACGGGACTCCTGAATTTCCAACCAGTTAGCGCATCTAATGAGCTTCAGGCTCCAGTTAATAAGTAAAGATTGGTATCGGCGGACATAACAGTAATGTGACTTCTCTGTTCCACGCAAATGGACCAAAACGCTAGTATTCAGGAACCGCCCAGTAAATTCTTCCAGTGAAGTTAAGTTTTACTCTCTAGCCTTTTGCTGTACTGTAGCTGTTGAATTGCTTTTTCGTATCGATAGCATGTGTGTTAAGGACTGGAAATTCACCCATTATGGGTGCATAAAAGCGCATTATTGTCTCGTCTTGGACTGTCTGTCCACAGACCAGTTGCACAGCCTATAATCCACAGATCGTCAATCTGAATATCACCAATCGTATGTCTTCGCATCTTAGATTTAACCATCGAACTGAAGTCCGCAGTAACCTGCTCATGTGGCCCGGCCTTACCTCAGCGGTCGGATTGCGCACATGTTTACCTGATAAACGGAATCACAATCAGACGGGAATGTGGTCTGTCTTTACGTACACACTGTCACCATGCCTAAAATGCCTGGTGCGTGCTCCATAATGGCCATTAAAAGCTAGTTCCATTTGCACATTTCGTTTTCACTTTGTAGCGATGATTACAAAGCTGGAGTACAGCAACCCATCATCATCATCATTATACACGTTAGCTAGAGGTTGGAAAACACCTCCGCTATTGTGCCGCAATACATGAAAGAAATACAAACATACATACATATAATACAATAAACAAAGGAAAAATAGATACAACAGGTGCATGCCAGCTGAGCTATCAGCAACGGATAGGCATCGTTCCGGTAAGCTACCAGCCAGCTACTAGGCAAAACGAGAAAAAAATTATTATGTTTTACCCTACGAAATGAGATCGTAGATGGAGGGGAGGCTAAAAGGGATGGGGAAGGACAAAGAAACTCACAGCATGAACGCCACTGAGGTCGGCTCCTTGCCATGTCAGCAAGTGTATCCAACCAAACGTGTTCACCGTCTTTTGGACCCCAACCAGGGAGCCGTGACGCTCCAACCGAGGCCAGCACAGAAGTGAGGGACTTCATTCCCCTGGACCAAGTCATCGCTTGGCCACCTCTCCTCTTCTTCCACCCACATCCCCGGTGAGCAAACAGCGCAAGTCGAGGGAGTCGGTGGGCTGGCATGCGCAACACGTGGCCCAGCCATCGGAGGCTGGTACGGGAAATAACGGTGCTGAGCGGTTCATATCCTTTTCCTGGGCCGTAAACAATGCGTCGAACACGCTCGTTACTCACGCGGTGTTCCCACCAGATGTGAGCCAAACTGCGAAGGCACCGATGGTCGAACGTAACTAGCCTCTTCATGTCCGCCGATCTTAGGGGCTAGGTTTCGCAACCGTACAGTAAGGTCGAACGTACCGCTGCATTCTACACTCTACCCTTCAGGGC